TAAATTAGGCTTTTTAGTATCTGTGATTTTCACTCTTGGCTGATTACTTAACAGGCCAACTATTTAGCATGACCATTGTCTGCTTTAAGTGTCAGCACATAAAGTATGCACCCATGACTATTAGCAAACAGGACTGGAACATAAAAGGAGTTTTACTGCCTGAGTTGCTCAGAATACTCATTTAGCATGAGACAGTGGACATAATGACATCTGCATTTAAGTTCATTATAGTGGTGCATGTGATTTTTCTTCTCCTGGTTAGCTAATGGCCTCATAGTTTTCACATTATCCTTTGAGGTTTTAAATGATGTAGTGAGGGATAATGAGCCAGACCCCAGGATGGATGAGACAGAAAGGGGGTCTTCTCCTTTAGCCACTGCTTTGTAACAATGAAATAAGAGACAGCCCATTGACAGAGCCACAGAGCAATGATGACAGCTCTGTCCTGCATCCTAACCACAATGGAGTCAGGCAGCTGGGAAGGACACGGGAGCATCACCTGCCCATTTCAGTCACTTCTCTTGGGTCTGAGCACATTTCCCACCCAGGGGTAAGGTGATAACACATCGAAACCAGCATCCTTTTGCTTCATTTTGACATCTTCCATGAAATCTGGCTTTACCCTTTATTTTCATTTTTCACAGAAAAGAAAATATTTTCAACAGAAGAGAGAACAGATACTTGGGATACTCAATCTGTTTGTTGTTTTTTTTTTTTTCTTTTTTAGTTTGGCAGTGTGACACTTATCAGTCAAGGTCACTGAGTCATTCTGACCATGGTAAAACATTGTTAACTTTTGGCAGATTCTGCTTGGAAATAAACATGTTGGTTTATGATCTTTCATGCTGCAACTCTACATTTGCAGAGTCAGAGCCTGGTCCATTCCACACAACAGATCACCAAGTTCTTGTTGAGGGGCTGTGTCTAGAGCTGAGCATTAGGGAAATGCCAAATACTTTTTATTCAGTAGTTTCTTTTGCTGTATAGAAACTGGGAGTGCTGGTCAATTCAGCTCTGTTGCTAAAGCAAGTGAGCATCAAACTCGTCTTTCTGATAAACGACTCATGACTATTTGCAAAGGACACATGAATATAAGCCTGAAGGAACCATGTAGGATCACAGAGCTAATTTCTCTGAGACTGTGCCACGTACTTAGTTCAGAAGGGCCAGGAGAATTCTCTTCTGCCATTGATGCTCACTGACCATATAAAGACATCACCAGCTCAGGAGGATGCTTCCCTGACAATCCTGAGGTCTTCTATGTCCACTGCAGAAACAAAGTACTAGCTGTGATGCACCTTTTCTACCAATGCCTAATTTGTCTTTGTGCAGATACACCACTGATAGGGGATTGTTAGCTCCTGAAGAGCCAGTATGGTCAGTCAAACTTTGGGCATTTCTCTCTGCTGCAAGCCAAAGGTGGGCAAGTGTGCAGCACAAGGAAGAATTTGCAGCAATGCCAATGTCCTGTTACCCAAGGATCAAGAGTTTCTACTGTTGCTTCTCACCAGCACCACTGCATAAATGTCTCTACTTGTCTGATTGAGATGGAAATTGCCATTCATCACAGCATAAGGGAGTTTAAGCTGTCTTAGAGCAAGTTGCCAGTTAACCAGCACTTAATATATAATTAATATAGTACAAGGCATGTCCTTGCAGCTGAAAGATTTAAATGTCTCAGATGCAATAGCTCCCAAAATCTTGTAAGATTCCTTCTGCAGTGCTCGCTACCTTCCTGCTGTTGAGAGGGAGCAGTCAAGATAGGCACTTTGTGTTCATTATCCAGCACAATATTCACTGGTTCATTTAATTAATGCTTAGAAAATATATTTGATGAATTGTAAGTGACTGGGACCACAGAGGGGAGATTATGAGTAACACAGAAATAGATTAACATTGGCTGAGCTTCCTTCTTTACCTCTGAAACCTTTTAAAAAATGATTTCTCTGGTTTTTATATTCACATAATCTTGAGGAGCTTTCTCCCTTCACGCACACACCTAACTTCTCATCACAACTGTTGCTGGCTATCAGAGAACTTCTCATAGGAGCTGTCTGAGGCAGTGCTGTTTGTTGGTTGCATTGCAGGAGATGTTAGTAGCAGAGCTAAGGTGTCAGACACACTGCACTGCCTGCATCTCTGCCCAGCCCATCAGTTCCTGGATATTTCATCTTCACAACTCGTGGAGGAATGCTGCTCTCTTAGGAGTCCTCAACAGAAAGCTAATAGTTACCTCTTAAAACTGATGATCTTGAAATATGCAATAAGAATTGGCTTATAATCTTAATAGGCAAAACAGACACAGGGGGTCAGAGGAGGGTGGAGTATTTCCTAAATACAGCCCAGCAGCCCCAGTCAGCTACATGATTTGCTGAAGGTCATGAAGTAAATCTGTGTCACAGTCAGGAATTTAACACAGATTTCTTGATTAATTCATTCCTAGATTCTTCTTCCTGCCTCCTTAGGCACTGACACGGACCATTTTAAAGTGCAGTTTCCTACACCATGTTTGGAAAATGTTTGAAAAACAATAGGAGGTTGGAGAGAGAGTTACAATTAGTGCAAAAAAACATATTTCCCTCCTCTTTCTGTTGCTTCAGTGCCAGCTGTACATTTAAGAGAGTCTACTCCAGTTCAGGATTTCTGAGCCTGCCACACAGCAAATCTCGTAAGAGTTCTCTCTGCAAATCTCTTTTTGTTCTTTTTTTGAAGTATCACACCAATTTCCTGGTGCACATGCTTTATATTTGCCTGGGTGCATGTGTGAGAGCCAGTAGCTCCCCAGCACACCCTGCACTCCAGAGATCACTTGAGAATTGCGTCTTCTTTGTGAAGTATCATGTGTAAGCTCTGTGCTCTAAGAGACTTGATTTTGTACAGAAAATGATCTGTGAATCTGTGGAAAGCCCTGGGAAAGATCCTTGCAGCCTTAAGAAATGCAATATTGCCCTCTAGTGATGAAGAGGATGGTCTCATTCCATCTGCTGATGAAACAAAAAACGTTCCTGATAACCTTCACTGGGTTTGAAAATGAAATAAACATTCCTGCTTATTCTGCCCTTCAAATTAAAGATTCCAGAATCATAACCAGGAGAGAACTGGTAGCACTGATAAGCAGAGGAGGTTCTTTAAGAGTAAGTGTAAAAATGCCATTTTTCTCCCTGAATTCAGCAGATGGAAAGCCAGCTGCACTCAAGAAAGCAGATCTAGCAAGAAGGCGGCTTTTTAATGCAGCATCCTTGTTGCATTTCAGAAGCCAAGTGTATTTTTATTTGCCAAGAACAAAAAAAGGGTTTCAAGGACAGGAGGTGAAACCCAGTGAAAACTAGAGGAAAAAAAAGTGCTTTTTTCTTTTTTTTTTTCATCCTTAACGATCCTACATTCAGATGTCTTTTTTTTCCATTTTGTTTTATTTTCTTTCGCTTATTTTTTTTGCTTTTTTTTTTTCAATTTCTCATTTGAATTTTTCTAGAGGGTGAAGAGGAGAGGTAATAGCAGGAACACTTCAGCGGAGGAGCTCAAAATGTTTCACTACAATAAGCAGTTGGTCAGGAAATAAACTGTTTTGAAGGGTCTTCAGAAGACACCTAGGAGCACTGCAAAACTCTGAACTTCACCCATAAGAAGGTCCCGTTTAAAGCCCCCTGTTCTGCAAATAGCTCGACATGGACAATCCTTTTAGTGTTTGTGTGAAGCCCCACGAGTTTCAGCAGCCCACAGCTCCCCTGCTAGACACTGGAGTCTGGGAGTAAGTGGAATAGATTTCTCTGTAACTGGACCCTGTGTCTCTACCCAGTTTTCTAAGGTATCTCACTGGTTTTTTTAAGTTCCTAATGCAGACAGCATTTCCCTGGCACTTTCCCTATCCTAATTCCTTCTGACAACGCACGATAGTATTGGAATTTATGTAAGGAACATTGTTGCCACTGTACTGCAACTAAAAGATCTCCCTGAAATGAAGTGGGCAGATAAATGTATTTCTTACTAAAAATAAAAACTAAATGTAAAACTCACCTTGATCATATACTGAACAGGCTTTCTCTGTTGCTAACGGAATCCTTAAAATACACAACATACGCATGTGAAATGGTCAGTTATTAACCTTGATGATATCTGGCACTTACTTTTATCTTGTCATTTTTATCCCAAGGGTCACAATGCAGAATTGTGACAAGGGCTGGAGTTTAGTTGAGATGGTGGCAAAACGCTCAGAAATTTCATTGCCGAAGGATCAAAGTTTCAAAGCAAGCAAGACATGAAACACTGAACAGTTTAATATGTGAGATGAACTTTCTATGTAATTGCAAACATTTGGGGTAATCAGGTAATGCAGTGGTGCGTTTTTTTGGACACAGAGTTTGGACTAGGCAGCTTTTTAATGAGTTCTGAGAAGTCATCTCAGCCATTGCTCAAAAAGAAATACATTACTGTCATCCCCAGCATTGATACCCATGGTACTGTTAAGTAGTGCAAGGTCCTTAGCTAGTGCTGGTTAATTACTCTGCAGCCATAGCTGCTGCCTGCTAAACACAAAAATAGAGCAAGAAATTTTAAAATTTGTCTTACACAGAGCTGAAGTCAACAGGAGGGAACCCAGGAGTGGAGTTCTGGCAGTGAAAATTTTATGAGGTGTACATTGGTGGCACAGAAATAGATTAGGAAAAGGAATGAAGATAATATGCCAGAATGTGACACAGAACGAAGTTTACAAAATAAACAGATAAGGGATTGTTTAAAGTATAAAGACAACGCGGAGGGTTTATTAGAAGCAAGATAATCCTCTTGCTGATCCAGTTGCTTTGATGGGCTGAGGTGGTGCCGAGTCATCAGGTAGAGCACAAGCTCTTTCATCACTCCATCTGCATCATGAACAAAGAAACTTCATTCTCTGCATACCCATCGTGATTCCACTAACCACTTTTTTTTTCAAGTAATGGAAGTATTTTCAAGTTCTACCCCGGTTCTCCCACATATCTCACCTCTTTTGCTTTTCTTTTCAGGTTCTACATTGAAAGCATCTCCTATCTAAAGGACAACGCCACCATAGAGCTGTTTTTCTTGAATGCCAAGTCCTGCATCTACAAGGTAAGGACTCTGGGAGCTCCGGGGGTGGGCTGAGACATGTGGTTCTGCATCCCCTGACCCAATCTGCATTGGTTGCAGAACTGAATACCTGTAGCATGACTATAGAAGCAAGCCGTACGAGCTTGTAACGAGCAGCAGCCGAGGTCAGCCCTCAGGGCGGCGGAGCGGAGTCCGGAGCGTTTCCCGCCCGAAGAGGGCGGCAGCGGCCGCGCGGGAAGAGGACGGGCGCCATCTTCTGGGGTTGGGAGGGGGGGGGGGTGCGTGTGATTTGCGTACGTACGAATGGAAGCTGTGAGGCTGTGTGCGCACGTGTGTCTGTATGAGCGTGTGCGAGGGTCGGGGTGTGTGATGGCGTGTGGCTGTATGCGTGTACGTGAGGTTAATTCTGTGGGATTTTGTGAGAGAGGGGTTCCCTGCACAGCCTGCTTTTGCAACCTCCCAACAGTGTGTTAGCGACTGCTCAGACAATGGGCTTATATCAAATCTTGGCCCTCGCTTCCTGATCTCCACATATCTTAAAATCCAGGATTAACTCTGCATGTCCAAAAATGCAGGGTTAGATAGGAGAAGCTGGCAAATGCCTGTTTTTTTCTTTCTTTTTTTTTTTTTTTTTTTTCCCAGCGTCCAGAGAAAGGGCAGGGCAGAGCTCCGCGCTCTGACAGAGCTGCAATTAGACGTGCTTCGTCAGCCCTCAGTTTGGTTACAGGGGAAAAGTCTTTTTTGGAGTGTTGCCAGGAAAAGCTTCTGCTGTTGTTCTTATTTTTTAAATTATTTTTATTTTCCAGATAAAGCTTAAAAAGAAAAAAAAA